AATTCAATCAATCAATGCTTGTATTCAGCTTGCAAATGTACAATGCCCTCGTGATACCCATTTTTGGGTGTATGATGACGGTCGATATGAAGAGGAAGGCCAAAATAATATAAGAGGAAATATCTGGGAAAAGGTTAGATTTCAAGAGAAAAAATATGATTATCTTAAATAAATTACAACTGTAGAGGCATTTTTTTTCAGTGGAATCATGTTTAGCGACATCTCAAATCTTATCACTTTAAGCATCAACTCGGTTCGTGTGTTCCTTGTTCTCTCTGCCTGTTCCTCAAGGTCAGCCTCATGGGCTAAAGGATGAGCCTAGCAACTACAAGACTGTACCGAGTTATCTTGAGCCGAAAAAAAAGTTTCAGAAGCTTCTTCTTTTTGGACTGCAAGGCTCTGGTACCAGCACCATTTTCAAGCAGGTAGTTTTAATTGAGTTTCAAAAAGGGTGATGTTATATACAGCTACTAAGCAGTCAAAGCTGTCAATATTCCCGTGCTCACATTAATCAGAAGAAAAAATAGGTTTTCTCCATTTTCTTATCCTTAATCAATTTCTCGGTTCCCTGCTCTTTTTTTTTTTTTTTCCTCCTCTCACTGAACAGGCCAAGTTTTTGTACGGGTGCAAGTTTACCCCTGAGGAACGACAGGATATGAAACTCATGATCCAGAGCAATATGTACAAGTATCTCAGCATCCTGCTTGATGCTCGAGAACGTTTTGAGGAGGAAGATTTATTAGAGAGAAGAAGGCAAGCTTCTGACGAAGAAGCTGCTGAAGCAGGTATCATATCAAACAAAGAACTCTTCGAAAATTATGTCTTAGGTTATCTCAGTAATAGGTTTTCAATAAATGATGAAACTTTGGTTTTTTGCTGCCATAAGAGTTTTCTTTTCTACCTTTTTTTCTTTTCTTTTCTTTTCTCAAAGTCTTACCTATTTGGGTATTTGAATATGGTCTTTGTATTATTGCTGTATGAAGCGAAAAATATGACAAAAACTTGATTTTTTATGGTTCAGTAACTATTGTTAGTACTGTTATTAAAAAAAATTCATTTTGTACTGCTTTCACTTCATTTCGTGATTTGGTTTCTTTAAGTTTTTGCAGAGGTAAATAACCAATGAATTTATTCTCTCAACCCAAGATTGAAGCACTTTTCTGACTGGCTGCTCGACATAATTGCCACTGGGGATTTGGATGCATTTTTCCCAGCAGCAACACGCGAATATGCCCGCTTGTTGAGGAAGTATGGAAAGATCCTACTATTCAGGAGACTTATAAGAGAAAGAATGAACTCCACTTTCTTCCAGACGTAACCGAGTACTTCTTGAGCAGGGTATATTCTTCATCACTTTAAAGCTGAGTGTTTTAGTGTAATTGAGAGAGAGAGGGCTTGTGTGATATTGCTTCTGCGTTATCTTCGAATAATATATTATCTGGTCTTCTTAAAAGCTTAATCAAATTCGATTCAGTTACCAAATCTTTTTTTTTTTTGGGTCTCACAGGCAGTTGAAATATCGAGAAACGAGTATGAACCTTCAGACAAAGATATACTGTTTGCTGAAGGGGTGACTCAAGGTAATGGGCTGGCTTTTATGGAGTTCTCATTGGACGATCGAAGCCCAATGTTAGAAACTTACACAGAAAATATGGAATCTGGGCCCCCACCTCTCACCAAGTAAGTTTTCCTTGCCAGGAAGAAATATTGTCGGCTCCAAAGGAAAAATTTCAACTCTTGAAATTGGATATGGATATTATGGTTTAGTTTAGTTTGTTCTAAAATAAAAATAAAAATAAAAAAATTGTTCATTTCACAAATAAGGTACCAGCTGATCCGAGTCAACGCCAAGGGCATGAACGAGGGTTGTAAGTGGGTCGAGATGTTCGAGGATGTTCGTGTGGTCGTCTTTTGCGTGGCCCTCATCGATTATGATCAGGTGTGGGTGTCTTCAGATGCTTCCCGTGAGCCCCACCTCACGAACCGTATGATTCAAAGCAGGGACTTCTTCGAGTCCATGGTCAAGCACCCGTGCTTTAAGGACACCCCATTTGTCCTTGTCCTCAACAAGTATGATTTGTTTGAGGAAAAAGTCAACTGGGCCCCGCTCGGGAAATACCATTGGTTCAGTGACTTCAGCCCGGTCAGGCCCCACCACAACACACAGTCCCTGGCCCAACAGGCCTACTTTTACGTGGCCATGCGGTTTAAGGACCTTTACGCTTCCTTAACTGGCCGGAAGCTTTTCGTCTGGCAGACACGGGCCCGAGAGAGGCCCACAGTGGACGAGGCCTTCAAATACATACGAGAGGTCGTGAGGTGGGACGAGGAGAAGGAGGATATGTACTATGCAGTAGGAGGGGAGGACTCGTTTTACAGCACAACTGACGTGAGCACGTCCCCATTTGCCCGCCAAGAGTGAAGAAAAAAAAAATCAAGAGGGCATAAGCGTAATCATCGGTCGCTGTCTGTTGTACATAGGTGGGCGGTAGTATGATCTTTTTTGTTTTATTATTTATTGGCCGAGCTTCGATTTCTGGGTATGGAAATGGGAAAAAAAGTGTTTTTTTTAAATGGTCTCTGTTGAGAGGTGAAATTAAGAAATGTGACATGGTAGTTTGGCTCTTAACATTATTTTTACAAGTTAAAGTGATAAACAATTCATATTTTAGTGATCATCATAAGGTAATAACCAAAACAAAGAGCATATTAATGATCATAGCCATATTATCTCTTCATGTGAGCACATGATCTTGATCCAAATCTTGTTCCCTACCACATGTGATGCTAAACCAGATCCTTTTGTTCAGATAAGCTTCCACATTGTTGAGAATCTTGGCAAGACAACCCAAGTCAACTAGACAACACCTAATGTGCACATGAGAAATTTAACAACCATTTGCATATAATTTCTACCATTTTGTCTTGGTTATTCATGAGATACTTTAAGTATCATTCCTTAGCTGAGAATAGCCTTTGAATACTTAGAAAACATTAGCAAAGAGAGAGAAAAACCGAGTTCAAGCAAGAGAGGGAGAGAAGGAGAAGAACCGAGCAACACTTCTTTCATTTCTTCTCATCATTTTCATTTTCTTGAAGGAGGTAAGGTGCCTCTGTTATGACATTAAGTAATTATTTTCTGAAAATGTGTTCTTCATATAAATTCTAGTTCGTCTTGTTATATTTCTCTAGGCTTTGGAATTTCGATAATCCGATTAATATTGATTGAGTTATGATTTTTTACAAATTTATCATACAAGCAGTTTTTTCTGAAACCGGCAGCATGAGTCTATATAATGTTTGGCCTGTTTATGGTGTCACAATGTGATCTAGTGAATTTGTAGTCTTCAAAAAAGTTATAGTTCTGTTGATTAGCTTTTTAATAAGATTGGAGTCATGCTGAGTTGATATCTATAGCTCGATTTGTGTTCATATGATTGTAGATATACATGAAGTAGGGTTTTACTCTTTGGCAGAAAACTGATGTTAAATGTTGGTAGATTTTACGCCATCTTAAAGACCTTATCTGCTTTTGTGTTCTAAATGAAAGTTGTAGGGCTATCTCTTAGCTTTCTAAGAATACTATAACCATGAAATTTAGAGGTCTGTAACATGATTAAGAAGATAAATACTGAGGTACTGTTTTATATCATAATTTAGTCTCGGACAGACTTTATGAATCGAATGTTTTGTATCTAAACTCATTTATAAAGTGAT